CCGGGCTCGTGCATCACCTGTCTACTGTTGACGATGCACGAATGGTTGCAAGAGCTGAAACAAGGCAAGTCGGTCTACGTCAGTTACATTGACTTCAGTAAGGTTTTTGACAAGGTGAATCATGTAGTGTACCTCGACAGGCTGAGAGTGTGCGGAGTTGGCGACTCGCTGTATCAATGGACCAGAAATTTCCTTGTTGGTCGAAAGTGGAGGGTCCAGGTAAACAACTATTTGTTCAACTGGTATCCAACGAGCAGTGGCGTGCCTCAAGACAACGTACTGGGTCCGATTTTGTTTCTGATCCATGTAAATGATGTGCCTTAGCTACTCCAATCACCTTGTGCGTTGTTCATAGATGATTTGAGGATGTGGAAAGTAATCAGCACACCCAATGAATGTGACCTGCTTCAGCAGGACCTCGACCGTCTCTTCACGTGGCCTGCAGAGATCAACTTTCCGATCAACCCGGTCAAGTCGCAATTCATGAGGCTGGGTACGTGTGAGCACAGTCGGAGCTACACAGTGGCAGGTCAACCGTTGCATCCCGTGCCTTTCGTGCGAGATCCCGGTGTACTCTCATGCTACGACCAGTCCATGGACAACAAGAATAGGCTTTACCAGAACAGCCTTCGTATGCATTGGGAGCTCAGGCACAGCTTCAGCACTTGGTCCGAGGTTGCCACTCGTTTCTTCGTCTCAATAATACGACCAATGCTAGAGTATGACTCTCCCGCGTATTGTCCTATCACCACCAAGCAGCACACAAGGACACCGGTACAAGCTTGTCGTACCGGATTTGAAGCGGGTCGCTCATCAACTCTGTTTCGAACGCAGAGTGGTGAATGTATAGAACGACCTGCCGCAGCACGTAGTTGAGGCAAAGTCGGGGTCGGAATTCAAGAAATTTCTGGACAAATAGTTTGCCGATATAAAAAATATCGAGCGCACCCGAACATAACGGGTCTTTATCCCCGAGTGACAATAGATGTAGCTATACAGAGATACTTCTTCTTGGTGCTTCCAAATGATCAGTACTCCTACTAGGGAACATAATAGTTAAAAAGAAAGATAGTCGCATGAGTTTTTGCACAGCAACCAAAGTTGCTGGTAACAGCTTACTTGCTCCTGCTTATATAATGTGACGACGAATCGGATTATGAACACAGGAGACCTCCTTGCATCCTCTAGGGATATCAGTGATGGTGAAAACGGCCGTCGTCTTAATTGGGAAAAATGGTTTACCCTACTGGATGGGGATCATGTTGGACGTCAATAAATTATCGCCTCGAAGACACAAAGAACCAAGCGATGATGAAAAAGACGAATCGCGCCAGATGAGGCCCATTATCCCACAGCCATTGGCTATATCGAATAGCAATCCAAAGAATTTCTCGGTCTGCTACCCAGCAGTTTTAGTTTAGGAGCACATTAGGGGGCATAAAAAAACTAAAGCAAGAGATGTCCATATACACAAAGACCCACCACAGAAGATATGCTCGTACAATCAAGCATACCTAACCACTCTCGGAGTAACGAGTATGGTTACGAAAAAGTAAGACACGTCAATATCCAAAGAAAGCTAAGGGTGATTATGAGTTTGTACCTGAAACCTACCAAAACAATTCATCGACATACCGTTGTTTGGAGTTGGCAATCTACTTTTTAGAACGGTCCGCAGTTTCCCCAGGGAACCCGTCCAGACAGAATGGGCAACCACTGCATCGTATTCATCCCAGTGAAACGCACCATGTTGCAAACGAGAAATAAGTTCAGTACTACCGGCATGAATGGCACCCGAAGCCAAAGCTAACTTGGCTTCATCATCATCCTAGATGAAAATATGATTGGAAAAGATGAGAACGTGAAATCTAAAGCCGTTTATCAGCTGAGCATGGTCGGTGAGCAAAGCCAAGAGACGATATATAAGAGATGATGATGCAGTAAGTAAAAAGCTACTGACCTTCAAGTATAAAAACGACGGTTAATGATCAAATATTTGTAAACAACCAGTAACCACAACATCCTGCCTCCGAATTGAAGCACAGTCGACCGGCGGCCGAGAGGATTACATGCCTGCATTGTAATCCTCTTAACGGTTCGATGCCGGGTAGGTGTGGCGACCTCACGGCATACATAGCCCCCGCGGAACTGGTGGTGGTCGCGTAGCAACGCAGTGTCGATGCGGTGCGCCGGCATACTGCTGATGCTTTTGCCATCGGTTTCGTGTGATCCTTCATGTCGCCCCAGTCCTAGGGAGAATTCATTCACATGAGGCTCCGGTGACAGCGAAGTGAGATTTAGATCACTCCTTCAGGTGACCAAACTATGCTTCGAGTCAAGGTCTGTAAGCTCCATTGCGGCGCTCGCAATACGAGATGATCAAATTATATGTCAAACGAATTCACCAGCCTTGTTCAAATCACGGCAATGCAAACACTTTCATCACTGCTTTCAGTAGACTACTGTTGATCCAAGCATTCTAGCAAATACAATTACTTGATGTGAATTATTGAAAAGGGGGCTCTTCGCAGCCTTACGTTTCGACCGTTACACAAGCACAATTTACGAGTTGAACATCCGTGTCACATTTGTAGGAAAGATAGCATCGGAGGTTGTCAGCGAGTGCGAGTAGCGATCGCTGGACGGCATTTCTCGCTCTATTTGATAGGCCAGTTTGCATCTCTTAGTACTTTATGCAGAGCAGATTTTTCGTGTTTATTCTTGTCAAATGTAGTTTCTTTTGTGATGCTGAATTCGGTTATTATGTACTAGTTTCCTGTCCGTATATTTTACCCTGGTAGTTTTATGGTCCACTTTAACACCTTCACCGTCACATCTGCTAAGCTATCAGTAATGACGAAGCTGACTCCCTGTGACACTTGTTGCAAAATAGTTGGGCATAGAGCCAATGCTGTTACATGCCTCATGTGTGGTGTGAATTTCCACATTTCGTGTGTTGGTTTGTCTTTAGATTATTGTAAACTACTGCGTGAAATCCAGTATGACTTCGTCCAAATATTGTGCAAGAAATGCCAAGCCACGTGCAGTCACAAAAAGACGAGAAGCCGCGTGAGCCTACAAGACGGGCGAAAGCTTCAGTAGGGAGGAGCTCCGTGGGTTCATCCAGGCAAGCGGAAACCCAGCCACTTCTATATTCGAAGGAGCCCACCTGCATACCGACTGCAGGCTCTCCAGCGCGATGTCCACCCGTTGCTGGAGACAGATGGCGCGCCTGTGTTGCGTCCTACGGACACTAACATACAGGCGTTGAAGTTCAATGGAGAATGCAGCGAAGCAAAAAGGAGAAGACAACTGCCAGTAATCAGCAGCGTTGTAACTTTATGATATTTCACGCGCCTGAGTCGACAGATGCTAGTCCTCAGGCTCGTCATGATCACGACGTGAATTTTTTGAAGAGCCTGATTGATAGGCTCGTCGACGTGAACGAAGAGGGGTTGGGGGGAAGCAAATCACCCGTCTTGGAAAGAGAGATGAGGGAAAATCTCAGCCACTGCGGGTCATTTCTGTTGATGAAACGAGCCCGAGGCTGATACTATCCTGCCTCCGACGGCTAAGAGGTCTAAAGATCCATATTCGCCCAGATTTGGATCTGTCGGACAGAGAGAAACTGAAGTCGGCTATCGTGGAATCGAAGCGGCTGACTGACAGTAGAGAAACCAACCTTCACACCGTAAATTTTTGGGCAGCTCCCCGGGTTCGCCGAACCCGGAACAACAGATCGATGACGCTTCAAGCGCGTCTGCCGGTTTCTACTGCGGCCTGCGCATAGCCTTCACAAATGTTTGCAATTAATGAACAAACGTGACAGTGTACTTCACTTCGTTGCCTTAAGTCGTCTGGACGTACTAGGACTAGCCGAAACCTGATTAAATCCTGAGGTCACTACCCAGGAAGTCCAGAGAAGTGGCTACTTGTGCTTCCGGTGCGAGTGACTATCAAACTATCGGGGCGGCGCGCTGTTATACATCCAGTATTTGCTGTGCGGGAGACTGGTACACATCTAGAGTAGCGAAGATGGCTTGTGCGAACAGTTATGGGGCACGATCCGTAGTCTGCAAAGCCGATGCTTGGATTGGTTGCCGCATACCAAAAACCACATAAGTCGGCCCCGCTTCCTGCTTATGGGCGATTTCAACTTCCCTCGAATACGGTGCCCTGAGGTTCAACTTCTTCCCGGGCACCGTGAAGTCGAGGGGCAGTTTGCGGAGATGGTATTTGAAAGTGGAACAGCACATGTCTGCCAACCGACGCGCGTAACACCACCCTCCGTATCATCGTGCGTGGACCTACTACTAACGGGTTGTGGGCAACGCGCACACGAAATTCAGGTCCTGGAGCCTCTGACAGCTAGTGATCACTCGATGGTGTTAGTCAGTCTAGAGCTGCCACTGCCCTATTCGCGTCTGCCGGTGCAGTCCTACAATTACTAGAAGACCGACTTCAATGGTCCAAATCGAGCCGCCAGTGAAGTAGACTGGTCGCTGCCACAGGATTCATCTGTTGAAGCCTGTCGGCCTGTTATAACAGAGGGTGTGCAATCGTTGTGCGCTCGTTTCGTACCCCTAAAGTGTCGGAAAGCTGGATCAGTGAAGCCACATTGGCTCGACAGAGAGTATGGTCAACTGACTCGAGGGCGACGGGAATTGGGGAATAAATTCCTCGTCTATGGGTCAGCCGACGATTATGAGGCGTACAAATGTATGTGACAAAGCAAAAGCGTCGGCAGTTCGAAGAGAAGCTTGCAACCTCGGCGAAGACGGCCCCCAAGATGATTTTTGCTCACGTGAAGCGGCGCCTGAGGCCTGTAAGTGAAGTAGCTATGTTAGAGTGGACTGACGGACGGGCTCTGATCTCCAGCACTGAACGTGCGTCCACATTGGCGGAGCACTTCGCTTCCGTACTTACAAGTGGGTATGAGTCTATGTCGACGTGTGCAGCCCCTACTGAACTCGAAGGCCTTGATTGTGGTGTAGAAGATTTCCGCAGTCTACTCACCAGTCTTGATGGCACAAAACCTGCCGGACCCGATGGAATTATCGAAGATCACCTCGCCTGACGTGACGGATCTGTTCAACAGATAGTTGTCCGAGGGTGCATTGCCGAATGACTGGAAATGCTCAGTAGTGAAGTCGATTCCAAAAGGTGGTAACCCACACAATGTGGACAAGTACCGGCAGATTTGTCTCACCACTGTTTTGGCGAAGGTGCTCGAGAAGATTGTTAAAAAGGGTCTTTTTCAGCTGCTGGAGTCGAAACATCTAATGCTGGCACAGCAAAGCTTCATCAAGGGCCGCTTGTGCATCACCAACCTGCTGTTGACGCGGCAGGAATGATTGCAAGCACTGAATTGGGGGAAGTCAGTGGATATTATTCACATTGATTTCAGTAAAACTTCCAATAAAGTGAACCATGATGTCCTGCTCCACAAGTTGAGGATGTGTGGTGTTGGTTGCGCACTGCACCAGTGGATCAGTGACTTTTTTGGGAGAAGATGGCGGGTTCAGGTGGATGACCACCTAACGGAATAGTGCCCATCCACTAGTGGCGTACCCCAAGGCACAGTATTGGGGCCCATTTTATTGCTGATCCACATCAACGAAGTACCCAGCTTCTTCGGTCGCCTTGCATATTATTTGCGGATGAGCTGAAGATTCGGAGGATTACTGATCAGTAGTATCGATTCTCCCGGCAACCGTGACGTCCTTCAGTAGGACCTCGACCGCCTATCCTGATGGTCTGCAGAAGTTGACCTACCGATCAACACGGCTAAGCCCTCGTTTATGAGTCTGGGAAGGGGTAATAATGGGCGTGTGTACACCCTGGTCGCCCACCCGCTGCATCCCACCAGTTCTGTAAGGGATCTAGGCGTACTCTCACGCTGTGATCTGAAGTCTGCGACAACACGAACAGACTGTTCGCAAACGGACTACGTCTGCTTTGAGTACTTGGACGCAGCTTCTGCGCTTGGTCTGAAGAGATTGTCACCCGTCTGTTCTCTTCCAGAATAAGACCGGTGCTTGAGTACGGTTCACCCGCATATTGCCCGATCATAATAGGTGAGGTGTAGAGACTGGAACGGGCCCAACATGCAGCCACCCGGCTCATCCCCAGTTTACGGGGTATGTCGTACGAGGACCGATGTAGGAGACTAGGGCTTTATACTCTGTCATATCGTCGGCTTCGAGTTGATCTCATTATGACGCACCGGATACTGCACCTGGGCCACTTCCCCATGTTGAAGCCGCTGCTGCACGTTCGCGTACCAAGCAGCACACGCGGACACCGGTACAAACTAATGGTACTGGATTTAAAGCACATCGCTCCCCTTCTATACTTCGAGCGGTAAAATAGTGGAACGAATTGCCAGAGACGCTAGTCGAGACGAAATCGGTGTCGGAATTTAAGAGATTCCTGGACGCCCAGTTTGCGGAGTGCAGGTATAAGGAGCGTATCGCGCCCGGATGATATAGTGCAGCCGCAATATGCTTTCACCGAGCAGGAATCAGCGACGTGATTCTGCGCACATGCCCGATCCACCTATGATGGAGCAACACAGATGTTTATCTTCACGCTCTCTATTTTCAGTATTCATAGGTTTAAATGGAAGAGATGTCCATGGTTGATGTATGTATCGTACAGTTCAACGGTTTACCCGGTATCCCAGGCTGGATGTATATAAAGAATGGTAGGTAGGACAAAGAAAAACAGTCCAGGAAATTCCAAAAACAGCTTAGGTTAGGAGCTTTAGTAACAAAGTAGACGAGCAGGTAGCATGAACCGTTGGCTATTTATGTAGCACTTGCCGTAGGCGCGGCTTTTGTACATGTAGTACCGACTTGAGGTGGCGGAAAAGCAAACGTTTTCTATAAAACGGCAATATGCATTTAGGAATGGAAAATACTGGTTTTTAGACCTCTTCGAAGGCATTGTGCTGCTCTCAACTAGATGCGACATGATAAAGGTCTCGCTTCGCCTTTGTAGAACCACATCGGGTTACAATCGCGCAGCCTTTGAGATGGTCGTCTCGTTGCACGACTCGTGCATCATGTGCACGAGCATTGACAAATGGGCATTAAAAGGGTCAGCGAAGATGGCCTATAGCCCAAAGGTAGACTTAAAGGCTGTAGCACACACGAAGTGATCCCTGGCTAGAAGTGGAGGAGAGCATCAGTGATACTTGAATTGAAGCCTAACACAGTGGTAAGAGAAAAAAACAACCGCCTCTATGGGCATGAGCAGCCAGCGAAAATGGCGAAATAAACAATAGTAACAACAACGTTGACAACAAAGGTGGAAAACTGTGTGAACCTACCTTGCAAATGGCAATGACTTTACGCTTTGGTAAGAAGTCCAAGGTGTGTGGAAAAACAACATGAGCCTCGAAACTCTGGATACACTTTGTCTTCTTCTTCGTTCGCATATTTAGCGTGAACTGAAAACAAATCGACGGGCAGAGGAACATATAAAGCCGAAGTGACTGATAAAGATAACAAAATCAGGAATGGTAATCAGAATGGTAATAAACACATGCGGAAGTTAAGGGCAAACGGGTACATTAAGCGATTTCTACGAAACGTTGGGAGGTAGCACCCATTATAGTATAGTGGCACAACCTCCTTGTACAATAGGCCTGAAGAGCACACTGAACAAAGCAAGTGCGCACACGGATCTAGTCACTGTCCTGTGAAACATAAATTCGAGTCTTGTGGCCACATAGCGGTACCTTCCGTCATGTAACATCATTCTACAGGTCAGCGAGAGGTGAGAAAAGCCTCAGCTGTTGTACTATAACACTTTCTGATGCATTAGCAATACCGTGTGTGTGTGTGTGTGCGGGCAGTGGCAGTCACACGGTGGTGGCGACAAGCAGTGGTTATAAAATGCTGGTTAACTTGCAGATGCGAAATAGGTTCTTAAACTGTACATAATAAAATGGCGTAGACGTGTAAGAAAACCACGGTAATCTCCGAACTGAAATAAAACAAGTGGTTCGTAGTGTAATGGTTTAAGCGTCCGGAATGCAACTGCTGTGCCTTAGTCTGCGATAATGCCTGGGTTGCGCGGCCCCAGAAGTATTCCAACCTGCGAGAAAATGTTTGCAGTTGAATAGCAGCGATGCATCAGCACAAAGTATTGGTACATTGTTGATACACATTTAAAAACAGAAAGAACATCGGAGAATGATGTACGGAAAAATATTGACGGTAGCGTTTACGTTAGATAACCGCAGGTCAAATAACTCGAAGACACACGTTGCAGATAAGTGGTAGGGTTTAAAGCGCTGCAATGACATTTGAAGTTCGCTAGACAAGATGATACTAGAAGTCAAAATCAATTCGCAAGTGCCAATTTCGGCAAAGGATAACCAAACGGAAGTGGATGTCACGTAGTTGAAGCGAATGCAAACAGAGGCAAAGCAAATGGTAGAGGATCCCAATGCGAACAACAAGAAAAATAGGTGCAAACGTCAATGGTAAGCCGTATGCAGCTAATCAAATGACATCTAAAACGAGACTGCAGCAATGAAAATGCCTAATTTTACCGCGCTGCAAGGTTGCCTTTTGGACGCAACGCATATAATTTAACGCAAAGGCCAAACTATTGCGAAGAAGTCTTGGAAGTGAAAGCCAAGTTTAGGAAATAAACGTCGGCTTACCATGGATGGCCTGATTGAGTCCTAGCCACCTAGAGAAGAGCATAGTAATTGTGAGAATAAAGACGTTGAAGAGGGCAAATACTGCATCATCATCATCCTCCTCACCGTCGTCATCATCATCAACAACGACAACAACAGCCACTTGAACCGTTGCTACGCCGCCATACAACCACGATGACTTACGACACGGAGGACAAGAAGAGGGAGAGAAGAGGACTTAGCTGAAAACCCTAATACCCTAAGCAAACACTCAGGGTCAAGGTGTCTACATCTTGTGTTAGCAACATACCGTCACAAACAGCTGGCTATCGTGCAAAGATAAGGCGCCATCGGCGAGAAGGTTTCCTTGCGGCTTACACTACCTCGCGTCATAATCAGCCATTACCTCGCAGATAACTCAGCACCAAACACATTATAAACAGCCAATCTGACTAGGAGACGGCAGTAGACGCGCCACTGGTGTCGGTTGCGAGCCTCGTGCTGTAAAGTCTCGAGTCAAGCACAAGATGAGTCACGTGGACTCCAACCTCGAAGGTAAGAGAGCCCGACGGCACCCAGTTTGGTCGTCAGTGACTTCATTTCCCGCTGCCAAGTCAACTTCTGTCCACCTTGAGCCTTGCGTCACCCTACACCTGGCAGACTAAACAAGGCCCTCCTAGGTAAGCGGTGACCAGGCATACGTAGCACGTGCCCGAGCCAACGCGATTTATTCAATGCTATCCGTTGTTCTAAGAGACTAGCTTGGTTATCACTGCCTAGTACTTGCGTTTGTATATCATCGCTGCGGACACGCTGGTGCCAACCGAGAGCAGCAACGCTTCGCAGACAGCGATGATCAAAGACATGAAGGCTCCTCAGATCTTCAGACAGAAGACGCCAAGTCAGACTTCTATAGAGTAGGACAGTCCGCACTGTGGGTTTGTAAACACAACGTTTCGGATGGATAGAGACACCTTTCTGTCGACAAAGATGCCACAGATTCAGGAAGACAGTTCTGGCTTTTGCAATGAGTGAACTAACTTCAGTTTCTATGCGCCCATGGTTGCTAATGCAGCTGTCAAGGTGGACGAATCGATCAACTATCTCGAGTTCCTCGTGATCAAGGGATCATCAAGTGACTGGTGGTCCTGCAACAACACTTGGCACCTTGAAGGTGTGAAGAGCATACAAAATAATGGGACCACTCTAAAGAGGTTATTCAGGATTGATTGCACCGCTCGCTCATCGTTAAAAAGCAAGACAATATCGTCCGCATAATCAAGGTCACATAAGCTTTCACCAGGCAGCAACTCAACGCCTACATTGTGGGGATCCGCAAGGGAACACTCTATGATGCAGTCCACGACGAAACTGAACAAAAAATGGGGAAATCGGGGAACCCTGAGGAACGCCACTTGTGGTCGGAAATCTATCGGACAAGTCACCGTAGACCCTGACGCGGCCTGTAGTGTTGGAGAATAGAGCAGGAAAAATGTTCGCATATTTCATGAGAACACTTTTCCGCGCAAAGTGCTTCGAACGGGACGCACCGATAGACTGAGTCGAACGCATGCTTAAGGTGGAGGAACACAGCTAGTGTCGGTCTGCGGTACATGTGGTGCTGGTCTAGCACCTGCTGTAGAGTGAATATATGGTCCATACATCCACATCCAAGGAGGGAACCTGCTGAAAATGCTCCTACGCGGGGGGTATAAAGCTCATCTTGGCTTGAATCCGAGATTCCCGTTCCGCAGTGAGGCGACAAAGGATGATTGAGGTCAATAAATTTGTCACAAGTGGCGTTAGGAGAATGCCCCTGTGATTAGCATAGTCTGTGAGACTGCTCCTCTTGTATATTGCCACTATAACCAATTCAAATCAGTTAGCTGAAACGCTCTCTTCCTTCCAGATATGATGGAACAGCGAGGTCAGCGCTTTGCAGAGGACCTCAGATCCATCCTTAGATAGTGCAGGTGGCAGGGAATTCGGGCCAGCGGCACGAAAAAGATTAAGGGCTATTATCGCGTTTCGGACCCCGGCCTCAGACTGAGGCTCTAAACTAACCGTCCATGGATTATTCTACATCACCTGAGTAGGAAGAGGTCAGGGAGCAGAGGGCCAACTGAACTGATCACGAAAGTGTTCCACCCAACGAGCTATACTGCGCTGCTTATTGTGTATCAGTGCCACGGTGCTGTCTCTGATCATCTCACTGAGGCCTGGTTTTCTAGGACCAGTGGTGTCCATCAGCTGGATGAGCTTGCGGTGATTGCCTACTACTCCTGCCTCCACCATTACTTGGGCCGTGCTGGCCCACCAGGCTTCCTTGTCAGCATGTAGACAACGCCTAGTAGTTCCTCTGGTCACATTGCGATCAGGGCCAGCCGAGATTTCTCTTCTGGATTTCAACAGGTTCACCGACCTCTCGGATATCTAGTGACTTGTGCGGTGACCAGTGACGGTACCACAAGCAGATGCTCCTGCGTCGTGCATGACGGCCGAGATCCTATTCCACTGAAGCTCAGTGTCATTAGGACAAGACAACGAAAGTTCAGTATGTAATGAGTCTTGATGGCTTGCCTGAGGGCTGAGACAATTTCCCAGTTGCCAATCGGAGGAGACGCTTGATACGACTCCGGGTAAAGCTCCTGGAAAAAGGACATGGTACTGTTGGCGAGAAAGGAAGCAGAAACCAGAAAATAACCCAAATGATAATAAAGATTCAAAAAAATAGTGAAATAGCTTCAAGGGTGTCACTGAATTCGTGACTGAACGATGTCTGGTGGGCTATCACATCACTGATTTAACCGATCATAAGGACCCATTAAGGGAGATGACAAAGACTAACTCCTAAGCGAATGTTCTCACGCGCTAACAGTGCTGTCCATGGATTACAGCCATGCAGAGCACATAAACTAGCCGACGTGGGCGATTCAGGCTCAACAGATATTCCTGTTTGGTGTTCAACACTCAGTGCTCCTACCAGATATGAGTAACAATTCGCCTGTATGGATCTTCAACACACAGTTAATGCCCTAATGTCCTCAGTGCGCAGCGACCAGGACATGGATAAACACTGTAACAACGAGTGCATGGCAGAGTCGCGAACTCTTACTTTAACCGATGAGCTTACACGCAGTCGTCTACATTTGTGACGGAGGCTCTGAAAAGTCATTCAAGATCTTTCATTAGGCACAGTAACCTTTTCGGTGATGCGACTACCCAAGGTAATACAGCTCACCCAGATAACTAGATTGCTGGATCAATCCGAGTAGTTATTTTTGGAATGTAAAGACTGGCGGTGAGTTGGCCGAGCTTTGTGACAGTAGTTTGCAGTTCGGAAGCACAAAGCTCATGGAGATGCATGATGCCTACATACAGTGCACTGCGGTGTTCGGATCATGGTCGAGTAGCGGTTAACCACGATGTGCGCAGAAAAGAGCGACCTGAAGCACCTTCAGCTTAGCAGCTAGACAATTCAGTGGGTTATAGTTTGTTAAATGGTAAAGAAATTCAACAATAAGGTCACTACCCAACTTAGTCTTCTATCCGGAGGTTAATTAATCGCCTTCAGAGCCCATGATGCAAATGTACGCCAACAACAGGTCGCAATTAGCAAAACGATGCTTACCTTGGCACGCAGAGGGTTTTCCATGCAATCGAACATATCTGGCTGCGCAGCATCGCGTAAGCAGTTCACTGCATCCGCAAGTGATAATTTTGCTGGCTCATATTTGGATGCCATATATACTTTAGATGAAGGATGTTTGCCCTGCAATGAGGCCAGGAGAGCATTAGACTGCTCCCACTTCTTCCGGTTTGTTGAGATAATCAGCTGACGAACAGAATCTCGTCTAAGTTTAGACTTTTCACCAGTCCCGGAAACAAGTGCACGTGGTCTCTGCCTAGTTCCCTTGCAGAGGTGTGCGGAGGTCATGAAACACCTGTTCAGAACACGGCTTCCAAAGAGTGCCAGCTGATCGAATGCACCACGGGAGATGGGGGATGGCACCAGCATAGTTCACCTGCTGAACTAAAGAAGGGGGGAAAAACAAAACATTAGTGGCCAATAACTAAACCATTTACTATAAAGTGGAATATTTTATCATCACTAAGATAGGTGGTGAAGAAGAAACAAGTGGTGTGCATGATATGGGCTAGAGTCAGGTGCTGTCGGCCGAACAGAAGTGGGAAAACAGTAAAAATCACGGATGTATGTAGCAAAAACGTAGATCGCGTGACTTCCACTAACCCTGGTCGACAAGTGCGAGAACAGAATGAGCGTTAAGAGGAAAGATTAAAGCTAAAATATCAGAGATTCGAGGAAATAGATGACATTTTCACAGTGATGTATTTACATGAAGGCCTCAAAAAAACACAATAACAGATGCAACCAAAAGGAGACAGAAAACTAGTCTGAACAAAAAAACAACTGCCTAGGTTCGGGTGCACCCACAGTAGCAGCTTATATGTATCCACGTCTTTCCCACGAAATATGTGAACATCCTTCGTGCTCTATACTCGAACACTACAGGCCGCGTCAGGGTCTACGCTGGCTTCTCGGATAGCTTTCCGACCACAAGTAGCATTCATCAGGATTGTCTGATTACCCCATTTGTGAATTCTGTCATGGAGTGTTCCCTTGCGCAATCTCACGATGTAGGCGTTGAAGTGCTGCCTGGTGACAAATTAGTTGACTTTGATTATGCGGACGATATCGTCTTGCTTTTTGCGAATGTTGCAGTGGAACAATCAACCCTGAATTGCTTGCGTAGAGTGGTCTCATTATTTGGCATACGCTTCGCACCTTCAAAGCGCAAAATTTTGCTGCAAGACCACCAGTCACTTTATGACCTTTTGACCCTTGCTAACGAGGAATTCGAGATGGTTAAACAATGCAATTATCTTGGCAGCTGTATCAGCAACGATGGGCGCATAGAAACTGACGCCAGCTCACGCATTGCAAAAGCCAGAGCTGCCGTTTTGAACCTGCGGCATCTTTGAAGACAGTAGGGAGTTTCCCTTCGTCTAAAAGGCCGTGTACACAAGGCCACAGTGAGGGCCGTTCTGCTCTGTGGTAGTGAGACTTGGCCCCCTTCGGTCTGAAGATCTGAGGAGCCTTCAAGTTTTTGATCATCGTTGTCTGCGAAGCATTGCTGGTGTCAGATGGCACCAGCGTGTCCGCAACGATGACGTACGTACGCAAATACTAGGCAGTGATAATCATGCTAGGTCCCTAGAACAACAGATAGCATTGAATAAATCGCGTTGGCTCGGGCACGTGCTACGTATGCCCGGTCACCGCTTACCTAGGAGGGCCTTATTTACTCTGCCAGATGTAGGATGACGCAAGGCTCGAGGTGGACAAAAGTTGACTTGGCAGCGGGAAATGAAGTAACTGACGACCAACCTGTGTGCTGTTAGCCCGTGTCGGCTTCCGGGCTGGAGTCCACGTGAGTCGCCTTGCGCTTGGCTCGAGACTTCACAGGACATGGCTCGCAACCGACACCAGTGGCGCGTCTACTGCCGCCTCCTAACCGGATTGCCTGTTTAAAGTGTGTTCGGTGCTGAGATATCTGCTGGGTAATGGCTGATTATGACGCGGGCAGAGTAAGCCGCAAGGAATCTATCCCGCCGATGGCGCCTTATCTTTGCATGATAGCCGGCTGTTTATGACGGTATGTTGCTAACATAAGATGTAGGCACCTTGAACCTGAATGTCTGCTTAGGGCATTAAGGTTTTCAGCTAAGTCCCCTTCTCTCTCGCTTATTATTCCTTATTTCGTAGGTCATCATGGTTGTATGGCAACGAGGTATCAGTTCAAATGGCTGATGTACTGTTGTTGTTGTTGTTGTTGTTGTTGTTGTTGTTGTTGTTGTTGTTGTTGTTGAGACAGCCTTGCTTCACACCAGAGATAACTGCAAAGTCATCCGAGGTCTCTCCACTCAGCTGCACGTTTGCCCGCATACCACCTTGGAGACATACAGTTAAACTTGCAAATTTTTGCGGGCAACCAAACTTACCCAACACCAGCCACAATGCCTCGTGGTCCATCATATCAAATGCATTGATGAAATCAACAGAAAGCGAGTACAACGGCTGGTGTCGTTCTCTACATGTCTGCTGCAAATGATAAGCCGCAAACACCATATCTATAGTTCTGCGACCCGAACGGAATCCACATTGCTCCTCCGCCACGTTCGGTTACACAACCTGACCGACGAGGTGGTTGAGCAGGATTCGGGCAATCACCTTGCCCACACAACGCAGCAGGTTGACGCCACGACAATTCGTGCAACACTGCTTGCTACCTTTGCCCTTGTACAGTGGTAGCACAAGGGCTCAGAAGGCACTGCTCCTCAATCCACACGCACTGTACCAAGTGGTGCAGCGCAGTCACCAAGGTAGATCCGCCGTGTTTCACTAGTTCAGGCAGAATCCCGTCGTCACCGGCACACTTGCCGTTTCGCAGCTGTGTAAGTGCTCTCTGCGTTTCATCCAGTGTCGGCGTGTCCGCCAGATTCGTCTTCACATCGTGCTGCTTCAGATCGTTCAAAGTAGGCCAGTCGATCTCCGAATGATTGTTCAAGAGACTGTCAAAGTGTGTTTGCCAGATCTGCAGTCTGTGTGCAGGTAGCGGCTGAGCTACCATCGATCAGCGTCCTCAGCGGCTCCAATGTCGGTCCATACACCATCTTCAAGGATTCAAAGAATTCCTTGTGTTGGCGACGTTCGGCGTAGCATTCCAACTGCCTCACCTTCTCCGCCCACTATGCATTTTTAATGCGACGGAGCTCTCGGGTCAGTCGCCGTCGAAGTTTACAAAACTGACTACCCTTCCCCAAGTCACTGGAGTCTGTCACATGTGCAGCAAATGCTGCATTCTTCTCCGACACCAATGCGCCAGTCGTCGTATTGTTCTCATAAAACCAATTAGGCCGCTTACAGTTTGCGCGCCCGATGGTCTCCTCGGCAGCAGTTGTCATTTGGTCGCAAACGTGGTGTTACAGGTCATTTCACATGAAAAGGAGTGCAGCCATCGCCTTTTGCAACTCAATACGTTTCGCCACAGTACCGAGGGAGAGAATGTTAAATGTACGCCGATTCAGGGCAGGAGTGCAATACATGGATTTATGAAAATATATGTACAGTTTGGTCCGCACCAATTTATGATCAGTGCCACACTCAGCTCCACGCAGTACACGTGTCATGCGCGCTTCTCGCATATCACGCTGACGTAAGATGACATAGTCGAGCAGGTGAGCGTGACCACTCCGTGGGTGCACCCAAGTTGCTATATCACTCGTACTCAGTGCAAACCGAGGGTTCGTGACCGTTAGTCCGTGAATGGCACATAGTGAGAGCAGCCTCACCGTTCCCATTCGCTGAACCAATGCCATGCGCACCGATAACATTTGTCCATACCGATGCATCACGCCCAACGCGCACGTTGAAATCACCCAGCAGAAATAGTCGGTCGCTCCTCGGCACAGACCGTATCACGGAGGATAGCTGAGTGTAGAATTGATCACGCGTGTCATCAGGATAACACATGTTCGGACCGTACGTGCTTATAAAAGTGGCAAACTTACCTCTTCCGAGTCGTAGGCGAACAGTCCTCAGTCGCGCACTGATGCCTGCTGTTTCACCTACCAGCTAGCCATTAAGGTGATCGGACAGTGCAAATCCGACCCCATGTTCACGTGGTGCTGAGGCGTCGTTGCCCACTCAGTGGAATGGGTAGCCAGCACCTGCTTCATGCAACTTACCTTGCTCAGCGAGCCGAGTCTCACTGAGCGCCTCAACATCGATGTGGTAGCGCGCCAGTTTCATCGCGACGAGTGCAGTGCGTCGCTCAGGGCGCTCACCCGAGTTCCGGTCCAGTAGTGTGCGCACGTTCCAGCACCCGATGCTGAGTGCTTTGCGCGCAGGCATACGATTGCATTAGTGGGTAATCGCACGCGAGGTGGCGGTTGTGCTTCGGAGGTTTGCTTGAAGGACCCAACCCGGAGCCTTTGGCTCAACAGCCTGACCCACAAGGCCGTGGGTGATTTGGAGGTTTGCTTGAGGGACTCCGCCCTTAGATTTTGGCACAATAGCTTGACCCAGAAGACAGTGAGGAGCAGATCCAGCTCGGGAATATGATTGTTCAGACAGTTTGGGATCTGTTTGACGGCCGTCACACAGGCTTCGAGATACTCGATCGATTCATATATACTTTACGACCGTAGTAGGATAGGCACCTGCGACCATGGCCAGACGCAGGTGGGTTTTGGCGGGTTTGCACCAATTTGACCAGGCTTGAGGCAGGCAGTAGAAAACATTGGATATCCGGAGGGGCCCTCCCACTTTCAGAGACAATGTGTAGCGGTCGTGCTCTACGCCAATCGAGCTGTGAGCTTATAACACGTAAACCTGTTGTCTCCTGTGGCTAGGTTTTGAAGGCCATAGACCACTTCCTAAACTCCGACGAGGGTGGAGTAGGATACTGGCAGGGCGCCCACAGCTGACAGCAGAACGACTCGGGTCCTCAGCCAAAGTCTTCGATTAAATGTACACTAGAAAGGCACCGGGTCTAGTGCATGACCAGTTCATTGACTCATGTGAATTGGTGTCCTGGATCTTAGCAGGGAGAAGGGCGTAACCGAACTCCCACCCAGCGGTCGCCACGAGGCATCCAGGACATGAGCCCATGGCACAAGGATAGCAGCAGTGGGTAGACCATCTGTCGGGATCTAGCCACCACCAGCCTCAGTGCACCATAGGCTCTCCCGCCTGCAGTATGTACGTAGGTTATAATAGACTTGGGGGAAATGGAAAGCAAATACCTCGTAGGTGGTTGGATGCTCATATCACAACCACCTAGTAAGAGACCACAGTAAAGTGAGGGTAAAGAGAAAAGGAAGAATCAACGACGGTCTACTCAATGTACAACGACCCCTTTATCTTAGGGATCCTACTACCTTATGCCCACTGTAGACAGGCGCTGTCCTCACCCAGTTAGCACGAGTGACCGATGGGTGACCGAAAATGCGCCGCGCGGGACAGTTTTCGGCAATCTACCGGTCACTCAGAAAAACACTTGGCAGCATAACTTCGTTCGCTCTTACTGATCTTCCCAAATTGCCCCCTACGCCAACATACCATCGTCCCCTCTTCCCCTGCTAAATGCCGACCCGCCTAGCGATTTACTGTAGTCGTCAGCGCGGAAAATACACGTCCTTAACATAAAGTATATTACAGTTATGGATAATACAGTAGTTTCTCTCCCTTACGTACAGTCAACAGGCTTTCACTAGTCGGATCCATTGCTGAACTCCTTGTATCTAGCATAACTGCAGCGAGAAATGAGACCTGCGAGTGGAAGTATTACATATGTACACCGCATACTGATAACCGCGCGATAAAAAGCATAACGGATAGGTGACATCTGTCCTTCACTCCTCGCCAAATCAGTTCCTCAACAAGGCTGTTGGCGAGCAAGGCCATCATGTAATGTTGAGCACACATTCCGCAACGTTTTAACCACAAATTGGAGCTATAAACGCCACCTAACACATGTATTACAACAAATGACATGCTACCATTTTTCGCATGTATCAGGTTTCTCACCCCAGTTGTAGAGAAGCACCATCGCCTTCCCAGTCCATTTGGAACGAAAATGATCAGCTTCCCTGGTTACCTACAGCCGCCACTACGAAGTGTGCAACGGAGTGCATGCATTTCTAAACAATTCCAGGCACATGTGTTGATTTGCGTCATTCAGAGGTTTAAAACATTATTACGCAAAGATGCTTCGAGAGTAGCGTTTTCCACCGGAAGCAAAGCGGAGCCTAAAAACGATATATTTATTAAAATGAAATGACTAAGTTACGTGGTTCAGCAGGGCTGGTGTTTGCATGCGGGGCAGATACGGCTTCGCATATCCATCAGTGATTTGGAAGGCACTGCAAGAAATGCGATTTCCGGTGGTCAAGTTCAAATGGGTCGGGAAGAGTAAAAAGAAGCATCCTTAGGTGCGTCGTTCACACAAAACAAAGCTTGCGAGATCAATTTGAAACGC